GCATACCCGCCGCAGCCTGATTTTCAGCCTAGCCAGCGCACCTCGGCCAGTAAGCTGGGCGCGCTCTCACTGGGCTCCTTCAACAAGCCTAGCTCCAAGGACAACCTGTTCGGCCAGAGTTGCCTGGCTGCACTTTCCACCGCCTGCCAGAACATGATCGCCAGCCTCGGGGCCCCCAACCTCAACGTGACCTTCAACAAGAAGAACCCGCCCGAGGGCAAGAGGAAACTGAGCCAGAACGAGAACGACGGTGCGGCGGTGGCCAGCAACCCAGGATCGGATTACTTCCCGGGAGGGACTGTTCCTGGGGCCCCAGGGCCCGGAGGCCCGTCGGGGACCAGTAGCAGCGGTTCCAAACCCTCCGGGCCGCCTAATCCTCCCGCCCAGGGGGACGGCACCAGCCTCTCCCCCAATTACACCCTGGAATCAACGTCGGGGAACGATGGCAAGCCGGTCCCCGGGGGAGGCGGCCGGGGCCGGGGTCGCAGAAAAAGGGACAGTGGTCACGTGAGCCCCGGGACCTTCTTCGACAAGTACTCGGCGGCGCCGGACAGCGGGGGCGCGCCTGGGGTGAGCCCAGGGCAACAGCAGGCTCCAGGAGCAGCCGTCGTCGGGGGAAGCTCCACGGGCGAGGCACGCGGGGCGCCTACGCCTCACGAGAAAGCGCTCACCTCGCCGTCGTGGGGGAAGGGGGCCGAGTTGCTCCTGGGGGACCAGTCGGACCTTATGGGGTCCCTGGACGGTGGGGCCAAGTCGGACGGTAGTTCCCCGCACGTGGGCGAATTCGCCTCGGACGAGGTGAGCACCAGCTACGCCAACGAGGACGAGGTGTCATCCAGCTCCGATAATCCCCCAGCCCTGGCCAAAGCGAGTAGGAGCCCCCTGGTGACAGGCTCGCCCAAACTCCCTCCCCGTGGGGTGGGCGCGGGGGAACATGGACCGAAGGCACCCCCACCCCCGCTTGGCCTGGGCATCTTGTCTACCTCTACCTCGACCCCTGACAGCTACGGCAGCGGGGGCACGCCGGGCCTGGAGCAGGTCCGGACCCCGACGAGCAGCAGCGGTGCACCGCCACCCGACGAGATCCACCCACTGGAGATCCTCCAGGCACAGATCCAGCTGCAGAGGCAGCAGTTCAGCATCTCTGAGGACCAGCCTCTAGGGCTCAAGGGTGGCAAGAAGGGTGAGTGTGCCGTCGGGGCCTCCGGCGGCGTGCAGAATGGCGACAGTGAGCTGGGCAGCTGCTGCTCCGAGGCGGTCAAGAGCGCCATGAGCACCATCGATCTGGACTCGCTGATGGCAGAGCACAGCGCCACCTGGTACATGCCGGCTGACAAGGCTTTGGTGGACGGCCCAGAGGACGACAAGACGCTGGCGCCCTGGGAGAAGGCCAAACCCCAGAACCCCAACAGCAAAGAAGGTATATGCGCTCCTTCCTTGTTCTCTTCTCACCTGGTGGATCCCCGCCCCACCCCTATTGCAGGCCTTAGCTGTTGCTTTGGAGGTGCTATGAAAGGGGAGAGTCCCTTGGGGTCAGGAGGGCATGGGGCCTTCTTAATGCCCAGCTCAGAGCTGGGTACCCTTCCTTTGCTTACACCAAGGGCTCTGTGGGTGGACCCCTTCCCACCCCCCTTGATGCTGCAGGGTGGATTCTAGCTCCACAGGGTGGTAACAATTTAGATGGCAGCCCTTTGGGGATTACCTTAGAGCCCCCACCACCACCTCAAGTTTTAGCTGAGTTGCTGGGTACCCAGAGGACTAGGCCCCTTCCCTTTCACACTGAGACCCCTCTTCAACCTCAACATTAAGGCTGATTCCACTTTTTAGGAAGTTTTGAGCCCCTCTTCCTGGCAGGACACCTGGGAAGTTGTGTTGATACCTCCCCACCTTGTCCTAGTCAGCCAACCTGCGGCTTGAGTTCCCTTCGGTTTGCCAGCATCTTTGGGAAAAAAAGTTACCAGCTCTGGTGTCGGCAGCATCATTCAGAGGCAACGCCTAATTTGACATTTATTCCTAATGAATAGTTGTTTTGTCTCTTCGTAACTATTAGAGTTTCATTGAAAAACTGGAGACCTGTCGGGGTTGTAGGAGGCAGGCAGCCTTTTCAAAGTGCACCTCCTTGACATTTGGTGAGGGGGCCAGGGCTGGGGTGGGTGTGGGGTCTACTTGGTAGAGACCAGACCAATCAGCCAGGGCATCATTTGTGTACGGGAATATGGATATATATTCTTAAGACACAAAGGACCCGCGTTTGTCAATATCTCGCCTGGCTTTGGTGACAGATGTCTGGTCCCAGCTCTCCTTTGCATTCTAAGCACTCCCTCACCACCAGGCCTGGAGGCCTTTAAGGTGGGTGGGGTGGGGGTTAGTAAACAGACCGCCATTGCTGTTAAAGTAATAATAGTTTCTTTAACCTAAAGATGACCGGGCTGCTGTAAATAATCCATTTTATTTTTCAATGGGGACTTTTTAGGTAACATCTTTTTCCATTCCTACCTTTTTCTTTTAAGCCCTTATTGAACCCCCTTGGTTTCACCAGGGCTGAATATTACCATGGAGCCAGTAGCTGGTGATTTAACCATGTCTCTAAAAACATATATCCTCTGATCCTTGCCTTCTCTTAGGGTTCTATTCTTCTGCCTTCGTTTTCCTAGTCAACATCCAACATCCTGCCATCTCTTGACCCTGGGTTTAAGGTGAGGGTAGGTTTTAGGAGTGGGTGGTGGCAGGAGGAGGAGGAAGGGGGGAGGGGAGGCGCGGCAGGAGTTGGGTGGCTCAGAACTCGGGGCTTTCACCGCCTGTCCGGGGTAGCTTTCCCGCTTGGGTTTTCTAATTCATGAATGCGGCCTCGCTGTTTTTCTTTGTTCGCCTACTGCCCAGCCCGGGACGCCACTGTCTCATTTGAAGCTGGGTGTTTAGCATGCACAGCAGACTGCGGCCAGCATCAGCATTCTCCAGGCTTCTCCCAGGCAAGGCCATAAATTGGTTAGTTTGGGACCCTCCGCGGCTTCTCCCTCTTTCCCCTCCCTCCTTTTTAAAATGGAGTTGGACCCGGCATCCTGCTTGCTTGGCCCCCCTTCTCTTTTATTTTCTTGTACACAACATCTCTGTCCTGCCGATCGATAGCTGGTTAGCACAAATCCCAGCCCCTGTCACTTTTACCTGGAGGGGCCTGGCTGCCCCTCCCCCTCCCCTCCTAGTGGCACCCCCCTCCCCCAGTAATTAAGACCATATTGGTCAAAATGGGGTGAGAAAAGTTAAAAAGAAAAAAACCTGATTTAGAAAATTAGTAAAGAAAAACCAGTAGCACTTTACCTGCAAGTCTTTTGAAGGGCCTTAGGTGTAGGGCCTTGGGTGGTTTTAGTGAGATTTTTTTTTAAGGTGTTACACTGCTCCCTTCCCAGTTCAACTAGTCTTCCTTTACAGAACAAAACAAAACAAAAAACAAAACAAAATGCAGGCTGCGAATGAAGAAATGCCATTAAAGAAATGTTTTGTTTTGTTTGTTTCACTATTACAGTTAGATGAAGGAAAATAATTTTTTTGGAAACAGATGCTAGTCACTTCAGGGCTGATGTCCCCTGTACGTTTGCTAAACGCAGCTCTCCTCTGCACGCAGGAGACAGGGATTTCCTTTAGGGACCAGCTGCCTTAGGAGCGTCGGCAGGGACACCCACTTGACCTCCTTTGTTTTCCACTCTGTGATGTGGGAAGGACAGTTTCCTAGATAAAGCCCTGAATTGAGGTCACTCACAGCTTCCACAGCCTTGGGGCTGCTAGTTAAGGCTTTATAAGGTATCTGCATCTGATTCCTGCTCCCTTACTGGTAGTAAATAAGGATGATTAAACTTTTCATTATGATAACACCCTGCAGTTCCATCTGCACATGTTGTATAAATAGGTACACAGAGCCTTTTAAGGGCCCCCGAATCCCTTGGCTGAAAATCAGAGTGAAGTGTACCACTTCGAAGTAGAGTTGAGAAAAAAAGAATTTAAAGGAAAACGTCCTGCTTTCCCTTAAACACATGCCCGTGTAGTCCCATCAGCCGTGAAGCAGCTCTGAACACACCTTTTCTAGGTTCCAGCCCCAGCAAGTACTTTCTTTCACCGCCTGCCCCCCTCCTCCTGCCTTTTCAGGCAAAGCCCATTTTTGTAATGATATTTTATTTTGTCACGCCGTAAAACACGCCAGTACTAATGTGATTAAATATTAACACCGTTTCTGAAATTCTTCACTCCGATGACAAAATACTAGTCGGTCTTTAACAAAATGATGGTTCTCCGATTGGAGAGAACGAATAAGTCTTCGGAACTGTACAAGCCATGTAGCTACTGGGACGTGCCCAGATTGTCTTATGGGGTTTAGATGTCCTTTGGAGGGGAGGGAACTCGACTGGCAAGTTACACTTCTCACAAAGTCTAGGCCAGAATCACACGTGATGATTTTTTTTTTTAACCAGGAAAGTGATCCTCTCCAAATTAAGCTTCCCCTGACTTCTTAATCAACCCACCAAACAACTTTTATACCATGAAACTCTACGTCTCATCATGAGATTCTGTTTGCACAAAGTTGAGGTGGGGGAAGGGTGAGATTGTACAAAGGGGGGAAAAAAAAACGAAAAACCAGCCTGAATTTGGGCCTATTCAGACATCTGTTAAATCAGTGAGTATTACATGAATTTGAAATCAGTTTGCAAAATTATCCACCTATCTTTGTAATAGGTGTGTGGCTATGGAGGAATTTCAAAACAGAGAGAGAAGGAGAAATAATGATAGATTGTAGATAAAAGATATTAAGCCTTAAAAAGTATGCCCCCGTCCACCCCTTGCAATTTTCAAAACTTGAAACTGTATTCCATAATAAGTTTATCTCTGCCGGACTTCCATTCTGTTGGTCGTTCTCGGTCTTGAAATTCGGAGCTGTCTCGAAACTCTCTTTCACCCACGTTGAAATTGGAGAGGTTCTCTGTATATGCTCTGCATGCAATCCTGCCCTTTTTGGAAGTATGATATTTTTACAGTGATGCGGGAGAAATTTTTGGAATTTCATGCTTCTCTCAGTGTTCCAGTCAGAACACAGTCAGCAGGGCTAAGAAATACTGGACAGGCAGGATTTGAACATTGAATTTCCTTAGACGTGGGGCAGGCTTTGGGGAGGAGGAGGGGCTCCTAGTGCAGTTTTTCTGAGTCTTTTTCCCCCACTCCCGACACCGTGGAGAGACTTCTTAAGGCTCACTCAGACTTGTTTAGGGGAAGACAAGGAGCCTTGCACTCCAGCTTCCCCAAGAAATCACCCAGCATGCCTTCTTGTGACTTTTGCAGCCTCCGGAAGATGTAACCCAAAACTTCGCAGGTGTTAATCAGGGGTAATGTAAACAGATAGGAGCCCCCTTTGTGCAGCTGACATTCCCGGCCTGCCTGCTCCCTGGCTGGTCCGGGACATACTACTACCGTTCTTTGGTGCTTGTTTAATATTTCATGGTTGTAATAAACCTGTCTTCCTTGCCCGCCTCCCGACATAAAACCCCAACACATCTGCAATTATACATTTCTACTAAATATTAATAAAGGGCATGGATGTTTTAAGGGGCTGAAGCTTATCGGTGTTGAACTTGTCATGGTTTCTGCCACTGGATTTTTCTAGCTGTTTTGATTTTTAAATAGTGTCTGTCTTCACATATGTAGTGTATTCTTACATGTTCATATATATATATATATACACACACACATACAATATTTGTAGATTGAAGTGCTTTCCTCAGGATAGCTTCCTTTAACATAAATTCATTTAGATTTCTTGTGAGGCCCTTTCAGACCGGAAGTAAGAGACTGTTGAAACGTACTTCTGTTTTATTGAGATTTCTAGGAAAGGAGTGAGGGTTGGTTAATCTAATTTCTCTTTCTAGCAATAAAATTCTATGATTCCTGATATGATTTTGTTTGCCTGACAGAGGTATTTAAATTTCCACCAAGAATCTTAATAGGTCCTGAAAATACGGCTGCCCTCGCCAAGAAGTTACTTGATACTCTCTGCTGATATAAAATATACATCTTTAATAAACAGTCTGGGAGGACCAGGTGAAATTAGAGGAGGGAAAGGCTTCCCACTCTTGAGGGGCAAACTTGAGTGTTTCCTTGGGACTTCGCAGGATCTCACTCAATGCTGGAAGATTTAGCAAAATCACCTTTCTCTCCACTTCAGTGACAATAACCCCCAGTTGTGTTTGCCCACGGAGAGGTCTGCTTTGCCGAAAGCATTTAGGAGATAAATACTCCTAGTGAGGAATACTGTATTTACCTCGGTTTGGTTAATTTTAGAGATTAAAAGGCTATAGCTTTATGCAATAGGATCAAATGTCTGGGGAATGTGTGAGGGTAGGCAGGCCTCCCATGCACATTGCAACAGAAAAACACCAAGCC